CACCGCAGAGGTTTGATGACTTGTTTCGATTGATCCCCGTAAACGCCAAGTTTTGGGTTCGTACGTGAGAAGATGCCACGAATCGTGGCACACGACAAGGCAAGCACATCTAGCCACGAAACATTGAACTAGTTTCTGCTTCACTGGGTTCACGCAGCGGTCTGCAACCCAGGTGACTCAGGTGCCCAAGTTTCAGCGCGTTCTGAGAAAGCAGGCATGCCATGAAAGCGAGTCCAAGGTCTTCCTGTTTTTGTTTTGGAACCTCGCGACTTCAAGATGCGAGTTTGCTTACAGGCATCTAGCACGTTGAAACAGATGCAAGACATCCTGTTGCATTCATCGCATTGCATTGAGTCGTATGGCATAGCATTGTTTGCGAAAACATACTGTTTCGAGGTTAGTGCAGCCCACATGCGATAAAAGTTTGACATTGCCTGCACGTGGATTCGATGGCCACCGAGGCAACGAATTCTGTTGCATGCCTGTATGCTTTAGCAAAAGCCCCAATTCGACAATGAATGCCGGAGGATCTTCAGGCACGCGATGCCTGTATGGGTCGTGTTTGAAGTCTGCCCCTTATGCGACGTGTCGATGCAGTTTAAAGCTGATCAATCGTGAAACACGGGGTTTGTGTCCTTCCTGGAAAACAGGTCAAATGCCCGACCGTGAATTTGGAAGACGTCCGCATAGTCGGATCTTTGCCTGAACTTGGCTCGTGGTTGGGGCCTCAGGCAATCTGGTTGTCGGGCAAGGCGAGATAGAAGTGCATGCCAGGGAGTCGTCTCGAGCTTTGCCCTTGGTGACATCCGAACGGACCTATCCAGCGTGCAGATCCCAGACTGTAAAATTTTGGTTTGCGTGGTGACCGGAAGGCTAAAGACTAAAGACCGCTTAAACCCCAGATACCGCGCATGATGAACATGATCAATCAACGGATAGTTTTCGACCAGAACAACCACGGAGGGCGGCTGTTTCACTTGGTGAACATCTTAATTTGATTGCAATGCGGAACAAACGTATCGCCTTGTAAACCCTGTAAACCGTGGAAGCAGCAAACCTCCGAGCCCGGGCCCAGACAAAAGAAAGGCAACGGGATGGGATGGGATGTGAACCACTAAATTTTGGGAGTTGGAATGCGAGGGAGAAGCCTGGCCAAGGTGGCGAACCGCTGAGATTTCATTGCCCAGCCAGGTCACAGAGGCGAGAAAGTGACTGCAGCTCGGTTCTTCCGCAACTGCAACTAAGAAAAGGTCGTCCAGTACAAGTACATCAAGGCCGGTTCATGATGAGCGGCTGCATCGCTGATGTGTTGTGCAAGAGCTTGTCGCGTCAGCGCAGGTGTTCGACGGATCGTTAGTGCAGTGGGAGGCACAACTCATCCGGAGTTGTCGCACTTGTTCGGAGAATATGTTGCCTCTCCGAAGACAGGGTGGGCCCAACCGCATCCTGGACGTGAGCTGTCTGGTAGAGAGGATGGTGCGCACCATTTGCAGACAGCCAGCCCATGCTGTTCCAAGCGTTTTGTGGTTGCATCTGATGGTACGCACATGCATGTCCCAAAGCAGGTAAACTATGTCGATGATTTGACATTCGACATCAATGACACCGTGCTGGACTCAGGTCTGTTGTGCATTTAGTTGTGCTTGAAGCGTTGTGTTTGCGGCAGATTCAGATTGAGGGGTGCTCGTGGGCCAAGGTGACTCGTCGGAGCGGGTGTTGAGCTCAACAAGTTTGATAGTTTCAAGAATGGATGATTGTGCTTTCAGGAATCGCATACGTTTTCAATTTTCAAGAAACCTCCAAGAGTGCTGCCTCTCGGTCTCGATTATCCCTTTGTTCCATCTTCTTTGGATTCGGCAGATTTCGACAGTTGTGCGGCTCTGCATAGTCTGGAGGGAGTCTGGAGCTATGTTTCCAGTGACGGGCTTTAGACGACGCATTGCAGGAATCATTCATGATCATTCATGTTGATGCATTGATGGGCTGCAGTCTGTGACGACCAGCCGCTTTGCAAGCAGTGTGCCCTCACCACTGCGGGCCAGTGTCGACCTCGGGGGTGGAAAGCCTGCAGAGGCTCGTTTATTGAAGCGCGAGACTGTGATTTCCAAGGTCAGACGCCCGTGGAGAAGCATCCCAACTCTTTGGAGCACCCTCCTTGGACACGTGCTGGAAGATGCAACCGAACGAAGCGCACTGGCATGAACACAGGGATCTCGAGAACGTCTTGCGTGAGCTGAAAGAACTTGAGCTCATGCTGCTCGGCATCGACAGCCACAAGCACAGCCGTGAAGTTTGCGATCTGTCCTGCCCTGCAAGGAATCTATCCAGCCGGCCGGAGATAAGGCAAGTGGTCCTTCTCCTCCAGTCATGTCCTTTGCGCTGAGCCTTTTGCAGCTCAACTTGCATGCACCATTGTGAGCCGTGACTGCGCCTAGAGAGGCGTGCCATCGCTGCCGTTCGCGGTGCAATGGAAGTCGTTTTCTCAGCACTCTTGGGCCCTGATTTGTGCATCTGCTCCGCCCGCTCCGCCCGCCTGTGAGGTGGAGAGATCTGGGCGGCTTCGCTTTCGTCGGCCGATCACCTGCGCGATGCTGGCTTTGCTCATGGTGGGCCGTCTGCCCGGGTCGGGTCCTAGAAGTTCACCACCGCCACCGCCGTGATCACAGGTGCCAGTTATGCCGCTGCTCGTGACGGCCGCACTGGTCTCCAAGTGCACCCATCCAGCTTGATTCACAATCTTCTGCCGGAGTAGCAGATGACTAGCGGCACTAGCACTGCGTCAGTGTTTTTCTCTTCCAGTTGGAACTGCTTGTCTGGATTCTTCGGTTGTCGCCATGCCAGTAACCAGTCAGCACGTCTGCGCTACAACTCGCTTCTGGCTTCCGCGACGGAGAACGTCAAGCGGCCTCTTCGAAGGCAAGGGAGTGGGCCCGGGGAGATGTTGAGCATGTAAACCATGTCAGCCGGGGTATTCACTCATCCGTCGATGGTGGCGGTAAGGACAATTATGAGGACGGTCTATTTTGCTATTGCCGCTTGCTACTTGTTTGTCACATTACATTCGTATTGTGCAGTGTTGTCTTTTACTTCACGTTCTGCATGTTTACGGTGCGCCTCACGAAGTCTAGACCAAAGCCGTGGCCTTAATGGACCAGCTTTGCGTGAGAGGCTGGTGGAAGCGGATGTACTCCTGTCGAGGAATCCTGAGGATAAGCTGAAGAACGCGGCGTCAAGTAGTCAAAGCCCAACAGACGTAGACGTAGCTCCCGAACGGCATGCACGAGCATCCCCTAACTTAATAAATGTAGGATGGGGCGGGGGCATAAATGCAGGAAGCGTTTTCTACATTTTCCAGCGGTTTCCGGGTTCCTGAAAGTTCCATTGCTTCTGAATTCTGGTGGGGGTCGGATATGGTCGGTGTGATGGTGCGATATAGTACCACAGTCTTGCACGCTATGATCCTGTGTTGTGGGTCTTGTCAGTGCTCAGAGGCAGCTTTTCACCCTGGGCCCGACATGTGTCGACGAATTTTCCGAAAGATGCCCGATGACGCATTTTTCCGGTTCTTCGCGAGTAATTATTCGGTTCTTCGCGCGAAGAGCCAGAGCCAGGGCTTTCTCTTGAGCCACATCTGACCTTAAGCACATCGATCGTGCAACTGCTACACATTCGACACATGCCAGACGTACAGGTGCAAGGCACGAGCACATGCATGTTCCACCAATGATACGCACTCGTTTGCGGCATACCGGCAGGGTATCGCTTCCAAAAATTTAGGAAGCTTGCTCCACGCAGGCTGCTGGAACCGACGGAGGAACTCAGGGCGTGGACAGCACGGATCCCGGGGCGCGGCGGGGATGGGGGGATCGGAGTTTTCTTGCCCAGTGAGTTGAGTCCGAACACTTCTCAGGTTCTGCCGCCGGGCTGCCGCACCCGGCAAGGTTCCCGTCGAGCCGGAGGGCAGATGACGCAGAGGCAGAGAAAAACTCACGGAAGCTTCCCGTCTTGCCCATCTCATTGAGAAAGCGGAGAAGCTTGGGTCTTGTTGGTAAACGGTTTGGGGTGGGTGGGCTGTTTGCATGTCATGACTCTACAAAAGGGTTGCTGCTTGCATTCGTCACTGGAAACGGAAACAGCCATGTCTAAGTGGAACGGTAGCATTTTGCTACAAGGCGGTGTATGTTTTCGGTGTGAGCTATACGGCTATGCAGCCATGCTGACCTAGTGGAAGACATGACGGAAAGTGGTGCGAAGACGGTGATGATGATTCGCTGAAATCTCGTGTTACCCAACACTGAATCCAGAGATTTCTCTGCATCCAGTTCAGCAGGAAGTTGTGGTAGCCCAGTCTGCACAGCAAAGTTGTGGGCTTGAAGGAAACAGCGCAAGGCATCTTCTCGAAGGAAAGAGGAAGGATAAATGCTGCTGGTCTTTGACGCCGGCAGCACGGGCGTAGGATGCGCATGCCTGCAGGGAGCCCGAGGGTATGTAGAAGTCCGAGGCCTGCACGAGGTTTGTGCTGTTTGGCGCAACAGAGCCGGCTCTAGAAGTTGTGCAGGTGTGTGCCACTGCGGAGGCGATTTGAGTAGTAGCCGCGTGCTTTTCTGCAAGCCAGCAGTGGCCGTCTCAGAAATGCTAATGGTCTTTCTGAGGCTGGCGTGTGCTCCCCAACTGTTTTCAAGTGTTTGACTTGCAGTGACTGGAACCCAAGCACGGCCTGTTGCCTGCCGTGTTCCCGGATTTCACTGCCGTGCTCCTTCGAGGAGCTTTCAACGTGAGTGGCGGAAGCAAGAAGCAGAATGTTCTGAGTGTGCGACGTGTGGAGTGTGGAACATGTGCAGACGCACCTGGTCTAGCCAGCTGCCACAAGCACAAGTTTGGTAGCTGTCAGATAGTCAGACAACATACGTCCACACCTAGGAGGTTGAGTTGGAGAGCATTGTAGGAATGCACAGACAGCATCAGCATCGACATTGTTGGTGTTGGTACCTTGATCATTCATGAATGGAGGAACGCCGAAAGCATCATCAGAACGACATGCTCGTCCTCAGGTGCCCAGTGCAGACAGCCTGGAAATCTGGCAGCCCATTCCAATTCTGCAGCCTGATACAGAAGGGCGCCTTGCGACGTCAGTTGAGCGGCTCTTTGACGGGCTTTTGGGAATTGCTATGCGGTGTTTTGACGGAAAGGAGTCCTCGGCACGTGCGAGGTTGCTTGCGGTAGTGCAGAAGATTATCAACACACGGCACCGAGTCACGTGCCTGCGTTGTGTTATGAGCTTGCTGCTAGCACCGAGAGCTCGAGACATGGAGGCAGAACTGGAGGAGCTGGCACAGAGCAAGAGTCATCGGAGGCAACAGGTCAAGCGCTTCTTCGAAAACTACCGTCCTCCGCAGACCTCCCGCGAGGTTCCCGTGGGGCAAGTAACTGAAGATATCACAAAGAATTCTGCAGCCTTGCTGGAGACGCAGTGCAAATTTTGGCATGTCGCTGATGTCGCAGCCGGGAAGTCTAAGACAAACTTGGACCCTCTCTCGGCACAAGACTCTTCGAAAGGTCAAACGCAAGCGAAAGCATTGCACCCAAAACCCGACACTTGGATTGTTCGAGGAGCACGTGAGCGCAAGCCACAACGTTGGACATTGGCCGAACGCTTTCGACAGGAAGTGTCAGACAGTGCTAGCAATCAGTGGGATGTGCGGCGCACCAGTAGCCTCATCAAGCCAGCTTTGCCATCGGCATTGAAGACCTCGAAATCAAGCAAAGTACTCAAGCATGTACAATTGAGTGGACTTGGCGAGAAGTCGGTATCTGCGCCCTCTCTGCACACCCGATATGGAGGCTGTGGCAAGGATCTCCAGTCTGTAAGTGCGGGCAGCGATGCTTTCTCCAGAAACCCGGTCATGGCCATGACCTTTAAGGAAAGTTGGAAAGCCGAAGCAAAGGACAAGCAAAAGAAAGGTTCCGAATCAGCGATGACAAGGTACATGACCACATGTGAGCGAGGAGGCATCTTGCCATCACCACTTGATTTCATCACAGGTCTGTCTCCGAGCCTCAATGCTGTGAACTGGGCGCTGGCTGACTGTGATCTCATCCCTGTTGCAGCAATGTTTCGTACCGTGCCCAAAGTTTTGGAAGTGGATCTCAGTGGCAACACTCTGCTCACTGATAAGTCCGTGGTTCCTCTTTTACAGAAGATGATGAGAAATCCAGCCTGCAAGACGCTTGCATCTTTGCGCCTTCGTCAGTGTATACGACTTGGCCATCCGTCCGTGGAGCTGCTCGTGAGCCTCATTGCCAGCCCGCATGGCCTCAGCACGCTCAAAGTTCTGGACATGAGTGGCATTCACCTGCCGGTGAAGTCTCAGTTTGAACTTTGCAAGGCTTTAGGCGAACATTCAAACTTGGAAAACTTGATGTTGGCGGACACCGGTCTGGGAAGCAACCCAGCAATCAAAAAATGTCTGGATGTCCTGTTCGGATGTAGCACCTTGACGGCACTTGATTTGAGCTGGAACAGTTTCGGAGACGAGGTTTTCGCTTCAATTGGCACGAATGTGGCACATCCACATGTACAGCTGCGGTCCTTCTCAATGTCGAGCTGCTCTTCAGCGAGTGATGCCAGTGCCAGCGTGATGTTGGAGTCATTGAGCAAGGCAAGAAGCCTAACGTATCTGGACGTGTCCATGAACCGGCTGGACCTGAACGCAGCGCTAGTCCTCGCGGATGCGCTGTCAGCACATCCGTGCCTAAAGGAGCTGGATGTGTCGCGAAATCCTTTTGGGGCTCCAGGCGCTCATTTCCTGATCCGGCTCTTTGCCGTCTCGAAACTGGAGAAGCTGCATTGCCTAGAAGCTTTTGACATGGGCGATGCTTTTCGGCAACATTTCTTCCAGTTCTGTAACCCGGAAGGGGAATACGACCTGAACATGGGACTGCCTCACAGCCGTGCAGTGTTACGTATTCTTTTGAAGCTGTGCAAGATGCTCGGGCTGAGTACGAAGCAGGCCTTCACAGATCTTGCGCTAAGTCAGGGCTGCACGCCTTTGACGGAGGCAGTGGACGAGCATGGCACATTCGAGGTTCCCAGCACAGGCCGCATCAGCTTCGTCTTCAGCACCACCAAGGCGACTGGCCCAGACGTCTACGAGGAGCCGTTTGGGCCTGCTCGTCAGTTGTCAGAACGCGGGTGTTCCGTTGGTTTCATGGCCTGGTCGTGCATGTTACAGCCAGGAGAGCATGGAGTGCATCGCGGAGTCGTGCGCAGCTCAGCCTTCCGGAAGCAGGGTTTTGTCAGAAAGAGTTTCTGTCGGAAAGTTGCCAAAGCAGCACGTGCCCGGATTTGAAGCCAAAGAAGAAGAATACAAAGAGGTGCGAGCAACCGGCCTTTGAAGGCTTCAATTGGAATGGCGAGGGCCCTGTCAGCAACTGCGAGGCTACTGCTGCGGGATGAACAGTGCAAGATCCGACTGCGGCTTGACAAAGCCGTGCAGCCGCCCCTGAGACTGAGAGCGAGATGAGCAAAGAGAAGCTGACTTCTGGCTGAGTTTTGTCGAGGCTGCTGATCCCCGTCTTCGATGCCTTGCAGGACAAAGCAGCCTTTGTGACAGCTTGGATGTGAGTTGCAATGCTAATGGAAGGACAAGCTCCCTTTAATCGACGCACTGGCCAAGGCCTCTTGTCAGCGCATGCCTCGTGTCAATGCTTCCTTGGACAGTTCGAGCTTCGCCATGACAGAACTTTGTCGTCGAGTATTCCCACATTGAGATGCTTTGCGAATGACTTGGTACGGGAGTACGGGACGAGGCCGAGCTCAGCACTGAATGCTTTGGGCCCGAGGCAAGCTCGGCAAATCCATGATGATTCCGACGATCATCCAAAGGCCGGGGCTGTGTCCACAAGCTCTTTCTGAGAAACGTCCTGACTCGTGAGTTCTTGCCGTCGATGGCTAGGTCTTGCTGTCACATCTGCCACTCCCAATCAAACTGACAAGAAAGTGAAGCAGGAACTGAAGTCCAAAGAACAGTAGAACCGCACAACTGCAGGCAGTTTTCCAGCCGAAGCTCAAGCAATGAACCAGCTTCCCACCTGTCTCCGACACACTGGCAATTCCTGTCGGTAATGTGGCTCTTCACCCTTTGTCTTGCGCAGCACGCAAGACCGCTGAGAAGCCTTCTTGCGCAACAGCCGCCCACTCCGAGGCAGCCCAGCGACCGAGCATGGACACAACTGTTCGGAAAGCAGCCGCTTCCAGATGTTCGGCTTTTCGATGGGTTTCGCACAGCAGTGCACAACATGGCTCAGCAACAAACACCAGCAGGCATCCACCCCGTCCAGCTTTCTGCTCCGAATCATCCCCTCACGATCGAGCCATCATGATATTTGCATAAAAATTACGCAGCCTCAGCCAAGTGCAAATGCTCGTTGCTGACACAGCATGCATCCCCAAGTGTGTACGGCTTAGCGGCTTCTCGGTGAAACCTCGCAGAATGAAAGGCAACATCACCAGACCTGATGCTTGAATTGGCATGCACGTATCGAATGCGTATAGCTTCAACACCTGAAGACACCTGTGGCCGGCACCGAACCGTGCAAAGTCATCACATATCAGGCTTTACACAACAGGCTCTCTCAAGATGCACAGTTGCCATCGTCCTGTGCAGCCCTGTCATGTTGAATGCTTCCTACGTGCACCCGTGCTGGCACCCTCCGTCGGAACAGAAGCCAAACATGTACGCATAGGCAGCATGAAGACGACATGCCATTCTCTCTCCCTCTCTCTCTCTCTCTCTCCCCCTCTCCCCCTCTCTCCCTCTCTCTCTCTCTCTCTCTCTCTCTCTGGGTTTGCGCATGCGTCTCTGCTGCTCTTCGAGTAACTCTCCGACTGGCGAGGTTGCTGCATGCGTGCTCTGGCGGAAGTGTCGGCCGTTCTCAAGCCACGCTTGATAATGTTTGGTTGCGTGTGGGGGATTGCCTTGTCTGATGCCAGGACACTTGTGCTTGCGGCTCGCGAGCACTCAGGCTTTTTCAGTTGACAACCCTTCCGTTGAACTTTCATGGAGTGTCCGCGCAGGCGCAGTACAGACAGATACTGCGTCGAGCGTGCCTCTACGGAGATCAATTATGTTTTGTTGATCAGAGAGCGTGAAGGTGCATTTCATGAAGAGTTGCCCAGTTGGTTTCAGACTGTTGAGGGTGCTGTGGGTTTGCATATGTTTGCATTCCGCAAAGATTCGGAACTATTCATGTAGAGGCATTGAAGTTGCCAAGGATGCTCTCGCTGACCTTCACTCCAAGCAATCCGTCGATGCACTACACGCTTTTCCTAGAAGAGCCTTGTGACTTCCATGTTGCCAGTGCCTCAACCGAGCGCGAAGCGAAAGGGTTTGTCGCGGGATCATTTCAAGAGATAGTTTGCTCCTCCGGAGTCATACTCAAACGATTCAGCTGAGACGGTAGGTAGTCTCCAAGATTGCAGTGTTTCCTTTGCGGTGCTGTGTCAAGAGTCTCACAGCCTGAGGCCGAGTGCATGCGCATCCTTGACAGATGGGAAGCCAGCGCTGCCATTCGCAGCTGCCTTTCTGCCAACGAGATGCGTTGTTTGACTTTCTTTCCTCCCAGGTCGTGGCTTCTTCGATACCTCGCAGCGTGGTAACCAGTCCCAGGCAGGGGTCTCGTCGGTAGTTTGTCAGGCATTTGCGTGATGCGGTACAGGTGCGCAACGAGCGTTATGAGGGCCGAAGGCCTCTCTTCCGTTCCATCATGGACTGGGAACTTCCTTTGCGGGAGTCTCAGACGTGGGCGCAATGTATGTAAGGAGAGAGCAATGACAGACTGTCTGTGCTGAAGAGCAGGAGTGGGAAGCTGGAGTTTGCACCCTCAGCCTTTGCAGCATGTGCCCATTTGGGCTGGTTTCTGCCGTTGTTTCGCCGTCAAGGTTTGATTTCGCTGGTGGGCCGCGGACGGCTGCAGGCCTGGCAACACATTCCACTGCAGTTTGATTCCTGCCGGCTGCAGGTACTGTTGAAATGGCTGACCCGATTTTTGAGGAGTTCTTCACACACTTGCGCTGCACTCAAGTGTCTTCGCAGGGACTTCTTTACATCTTTCGATTATGCGAAGGCTCACAGCAAAGTGTCGAGCATCTCAACAGTGCGGGGCAAAGCTCAAGCCCGGAAGCTTTTCATTAGCGGGCTAACGGGGACCCGCTGCAAGGTTTGAAGCACTTCGTGCCGTCTCTCCGTATATATACCTCGCATCATCGCAACTGCGTCGGCTCGTGGCCTAGCTCAGCTGTTCGAGGAGGTAAGGCATGAAGTGATCGAAGATCACCTACAGGCTGTTGGGAGTGATATATGATGCAGAGGCCCGACTGTGTCAAGTGGGCACGGGGCAGCCATCACAAGCTTGCTGGCTGGGTCAGGTGAGGATGCATGTCTTCCATGTGTTCTACTTCAGGCCACCTTATCATGCAGCTTTGCAGTGCTGTGCAGCAACCAGCTCATGAGCTTGGAGCCAGTTCCTGCCGTGATGCGCATTTTGGTTTCCATGGAAACACGCAGCTTCTCTTGATTGGCAAGAAGTATTTCCGTCCCGAATGAAACAGCCGAGCAAGGCGAGGAAGCAGGTCGAAAAAGGACCCGGTAGAGACACCTTCGTGGCGCAAGAGCTTGGAAGAAGATGGCATCAATGTGTTAAATGTCGGAAGCATGAGGAGGATAGGAACAGACAAGACAGCCACAGGGCACTGCAGGTGGCCATATGCATCGCATGGACCATGTCGCGTAGTGCACGGAGTGTACGCAGTGACATGTTCGAGCATGAACTCTGTGCGATTCCGCAGTTTGCGTGCTGGAGCTTGAGCATACGCCATACGCAAAGCGCATGCTTCTTTCTCAAAGCACCCGCCCTCCGCCCAAAACTGGTGGGGTGGCAGGTAAGGCCTTCCGCAAGTGTTCTGTTTATCAGGCGGAAGAGACATAACCCGAGCGCCGCCTGCCAGTGTCCTGCCAAAGAAAATGCGAGGGCTCGTGCGTGCCGCTTGTAAGTTTGTTGAATGTGCAGAGTGTTACAGCCCAATGTCGCGTAGTGCACGGAGTGTACGCAGTGACATGTTCGAGCATGAGTTCTGCGCGATTCCGCAATTTGCCTGCTCGAGCTTGAGCATACGCAAAAAGCATGGTTCTTTCTCAAAACACCCGCCCTCCGCTTAATCTGGTGGGGTGGCAGGTAAGGCCTTCCGCAAGTGCTTTGTTTACTAGGCGGAAGAGACCTCACCCGAGACTGCAGCCTGCCAGTGTGCTGCCAAAAAAGCGAGGGCTCGTGCGTGCGGACTGTAAGTTTGTTGAATGTGCAGAGTGTTGCAGCTCGATGTCCGCGAGTTTCGTGGGAAGAAAAGGCTTCAAAGAATGGCAGCTTGGAGCGGAGCTTCCTGAGTTCCGTGCTTCCGTTTCGCCTCACCGGACCCCTGACCCGGGTCCGGGCCCTTTCGTGCAGGAAAGCGACATCCCACGTGCTGAGCGTTGACAAATAAGCTGTACCTGTCTGGCCCTCTTTTTCGTTGTGGGTTTGATTTTGGGCATCCTCACGGCCACCTACTTGGCCTTTGGACTTGGATTTCTTGATTTGTCCTCCCACTTCACTCCTGAGCCCTCCGTGCCTCGGCCCGCGCATCGTCTGCAAGGGTACTTGCATGCTTCATCCAACACCCAGCCAGACCGACAGTGAGGTTAATCTGGCTGCAAGGATAGGGGAGCTTAGGGTTACGGTGGTTGGGCCGGTTTCTGAGGCTCATGCTCTGCTGGCACACTTGCAGGCCTTCCGTGCCTCTGCCTCGATTTCGGGCAGCCTTCTTTCCACCCCTTCACGAGAGTATCCCTTGCAGGCCTCCGGGCCCGTGGAGCCTGAGCCTGAGACTCCTCACTCTGCTGCGTTTGCTCCTTGGCAGAGGGTTGAGCCTGAGTTTCCTGGCCCGTCCAGAGTTCCACTTCTTCCTCCTTGGACTTTGCCTTTGCTTCTCGGGCCTCTGCCCCAAACCGCTCTTTCGTTCCAGTCCCTGCTGTCCAGGTTCCCTTGCAGGCTTCGGCCGTTGCAGCACCTTCCAGGTCAGAGGTTGAGGCTGCCAAGCCCCGTTGTCCAGCTGACTTGCTGTTGGCCGGGCACCTGCTCTTTCCGAGGGGGCGAACCTGAGCTGTGTGGCCCGAATAGAGTGTGCGTGGCGAGCCGGTTTCCCTATCCCGTTCGCGTCGGTTCGGCTCAACTTGGCTTCTCGGGTGTCGGCGGCGGCGGCCTGCTGTCTATCGCTCCTACAAGGAGGTTGCACAGCTGGGGCTGATTGGCCCGGCCGAGCGCAAGCATGATGGACCACATCTCTACTTTTGCGGAGGCAGCCCAGAGCTACGAGTCCGAGCAGCGGGCCCGGAAGACGAAGGCACCTTGGAGGCCCAACGCCATCATTGTGATGAAGAGGGCCTTGTTTCATGGCGGCCGTCCCCACCACCATCCTCTTGGCGGAGGAGGCGGCCGAGGGCGTTGCATTTGCAATGGAGGTGTTGGTGCGGCCCTCTTCTGTGGTGGAGGTCGCAGTTGCCCTCCTTACGGAGGAAGGCGGTCGTGATTAGCTGCAGGTTGGTCCAAGAGCAGGCGCGGGGGCTATCTCTTCCGAGCCTCAGCAAAGGCCCAATGCAGCTGCTCCAAAAAGGGTCACGACCATCTCCGAGACCCTGCCCAACCTCACTGACTGGCAGAGCAGGGGAAGTCCCTCATCAACACCCTCGAGCTGGCATCCATCAGCATCCTCAGAGGAATGCTGCTCGGGACAATCCCCATTCGCGCTTCACTGTGGTGGTCGATAGTTCTGTTGCCAATGGCAGGTCGACCTCTTTGGCCCTCAGGCCAGTCTCCGCAGGTCAATGGCCCACCAGCTCGCCTTTGCCCTTTACCCAGCTTTCGGTTGTGCGCCAACGCGGTTGAACCCATCCGATGATCCTACGCGCCTGGTTCCGCTTCGTGAGCCCGCCCTTCTTGGGCTTCACCGGGTTCTTCCCCTAGCTGTTCTGCACAACCTCGGGCCTCTCAGGCTCCAGAAGCCCCTTGCTTCCTGGGCTCGCCTTTTCCTTGTCGTCGCTGTCAGTGCGCGGTTGAGCGCTTTCTTGAAAGCTTGGCGGCCCTCTTTCAAGGACTTCGACGCCACCTTTAGCTTTCCTGGTGAGGGCAATCTTGGTCTTTGCAGAGCACCTGTGTGAGCCTCTGCCTCCCGGCCTACCTATCCTTGGCTGCTTTGGCCCCTGTGCCCTTTCTCCTCCACGAGCCGTCGGCATCTTCTCGACTTCGCGTCTTTAGCTCCCTCCGGGTTGAGCTTTCTTCTGCCGCACTGCTCCTTACTGTGTGTCTGGCCCGCCTTTTCCTCTTGACTTCGACGCCACCTTGGGCTTTCCTGGTGAAGGCTGGTTCCTTTGTTCAGGGTCTGCAGAGGCTGTTCCATGGCCGCGCCCGCGCCTATGACCCCTGCTGATACTGAGCGAGCCCATCGCAGGTCTGCTCACCTGCTCGTTGCCGACAGGACTGTGCGCCCCGTCTTCTCAGAACCGTAACGTCGGGGCCCTTCTTGACTTGTTGCCTATGGTCAGTTTCTCTTCAGATCGGGGCAAGCATATTATAAGTTTTCTGAGACGATAAACGCCATAGCCAGCCTGCGACATCCTGCGACCCGCCATTCGTCGGAGCCTTTCTCGACCTTGGGACCTGGCTTTCGCCGGGCTCATTGAAGACCACCGAAGCAGCTACGCTATTGGTGGTCTGCTGGCTGTCATGACGGTCGCCCTTTTGTGGGGATGGGCAGCTGAGGCGGCCCTCTTCGGGCTCACCTGGGTTGGGCTCCTTATGATTGGTGAGACTCTTTTTGATCTTTTTGCTACAAGGCAAGATCTTGTGTTGCAGTACGACGCTGCCCCAAAACTCATTATTTGCTTCTTTAGATTCGCCAGCCAAAAACTCGAGGCCGAGCTGCGAAGCATCAGGCCGCACGTGTTGACCCAGTCGACATCGTGCGGCTGGTGTCCCTGTTGTTTGGGCCATTGCCTCCCTTTGCGAAGCTTTGGCCCTTTTCTGATGGTGTTTCGCCCCGCCGACTGAAGCTCATCCTCCAGCGCCTTGGTCTACGAAAGGACGGCGAGCTCTCTTTTGACCTTGCGTCGCTCCGACCAGGCGGTGCTACGTGGATGCTGCAAAAGACGGAGAACGCTGAAATGGTGCGTCGCCGTGGCCGCTGGCTCTCTGCCAAAGTTATGGAAATATACCTTCACGAGAAAGCTGCTGTCACTTACATGCCCCGGCTACCGGCACCTACTCGGGCTTCTGTGGAGCAGCTTGCGGGCTCTTTTTCTTGGGTGCTGGAAAGAGCCGCCTTGTTCGAAGCTTCGAAGATACCCAAACGGCCTTGGTATCACCTGTTTGTTGGCCGCACGATTTGCTCGAGCAAGGATGGAATGGTGTGAGTGTGTGAAAATCGATCCTGCCCAGGCCTGGAAAGTGTCCTGACTGGAGGGAGCCATCCCGCTTGTATTAGCGGTTTGGCTCAATGTGATATGGCTTCACATCATTTTTTTTCAGGAGCTGCTGTGCAGCTAGTTCAGTTACCTTCGCAGGACGTTCAGTGGCGGCAACAGTTTGAGACGTTTGAGAGCTCTGCTGCTTGACAAATAAGCAGCTAGCTTGAAATCCAGTGCCGTTGCTAAAGCTCCCGCCCTCCCGCCCATCGTCCGGCTGACTGGAGCGAGCCATCCCGCTTGTATTAGCGGTTTGGCTCGGCTGATGTGATATGGCTTCGCATCATTTTCCCTGCAGCTAGTTCAGTTACTTTCGCAGGACGTTCAGTGGCGGCAAAAGTTTGAGCGAGTTGCTGCTTGATTAGGCGTATAGAAGTTTGGATATCGATGCGGCTTCTGTGCCGAATGTTTGTTTGCGATCCGTTGAGTTCTGTTTCTTGATTCCGTTCAAATCTTCTTGCAGTTCTCGCGTATCTCACCTGTATCTCGAACGGACAGGTTGACGGACATTTGGAACGTGAAGGTTTGCAGGGCCCGCTTCTCCAGTCGGGGCCTTCCAGAATTGCAAAGCCTTCAAGGTTGTCTTCCTTGGAGGGTTGGGGATTCTCATTGCTTTTGTGCAAAGAGAGGTGATGAGTGTTTGCTGCTCATGACGCGGCCTCGGCTGTCAATTTCCGGCATCTCCATGCTTTGTGGCACAGTCGCAAGGAAGAAGCTCGGACCCGTGAAGTTCTTCCCCTACATCCAGCCGGAGCAGGTCCTTTCTTTCAGTTACAACAACGACGCCACACACGCAGACACGGGCACCTCCTTCCGCGCAGGCCCAGCTCGACCTCGATTTCTCTGTCCACGATGAGAAGCTTGCGGTGAATCTGCTTGTCATGTCCTCGCCCGAGACGTCGGCAGCGCACATACTACCAATGCTGGCGATGGAACGTTTCGCCCGGAGGTTGCAGCAGAAGGAGGGGGCCCTTCTTCTCGAACCCAGGTACATCCGGGAGGCCCTTGGATGCGAAGCGATAGGAAGTGTCTCGCACGAGAAATCTGTCGCCGTCACTACAGGACGGGACCGAAGACAAGCTGGTCACAGGCCCGAGTGGATAGCCTTGTAGTGGCTTTCGTTGCTCTTGCTTCCAGGTGTGCCCCGAGCCTGGGCACGGTTTTCCGATCTGCCTCGGGCCGGGAGCCAGTAAACTGTTCTGTTAGGTTCAGTTGAGATGCGAGATGGGTGCCACTTTCTTCCCAGAATATCACCCGCATGCGATCGAAATTTCCCCATTTTAGGTGTTGTCTCCAGATGTGTCGATGTTTTTGCAAACTTACGGATGTCACTTCTCGATGTGGAGAGACATCAGACACCGAACCCAATGAAAGAAAAATCATGGGAATAAACTGAGAACCGCATGAGCATAGAATCAGCAAGAGCAACATTAACACTATGTTCCCACTATTTTCCCTAATGTTTTCCCTTATTGTTCCAATTTTCGCTGCTGTTGCTTCGGTGTGTTTTTTCTATAATTTCTAGGTTTCAAGAAGAGGCATCAGACACCGAGCCCAATGGCAATAAAGCAAACGTGGACATTTTTTTGAAATCCCATTTTCCGTGTGTTTTTTTGCATTGCTGGCTACCAGGATTCCTTCTTGTGTGCACTCTCAACAACATCCCATCGGAGATTAGTTCCCGTGTTGAGACGTAGTGTCAACAGGACCGGGACGTCACAATGCTAGATGGACAGTAAAGTCAGCAGCACTTCACAGAGCCAACCAGTGCAACGTGTAATGAAAGACCCAATGGCTTCGATGTTCACTCAGCTCTGCACAGTCTTTCAGACGATATCATTTTCGGGATCTCCAGCTCTACACAGCTCTTCTGCAGCGCGATGTTTTGCTTCTCTGGTTGCACATGCTGTTTTCATCTCGTTGATGTTTTATGTTGCTGGGTTATGCAGCTTGCTGATATGTTGATATGACCATCCCACGACGAGGGCTTTGCACGTGCCTCACTCACCCTCATCAATTCTCACCCTCTCCTTTGCTTTAACCCCTGACTCCTGGCTTCGTTGCTGCCCGTATCTTCTCTCGTGCCCTCACTCTCATCATCAGTTTCACTCACCTTCACTCGCCCTCACTCTCACCCTCATTCTCAATGGGCGAGGATTTCGGATTTGCCTAGGGCTGCTTGGGAGGAAATCCCTTGCGGCTTGCGCAGCTAGCAGCGTTTGCTCTGTTTCTGCTCAGGCGGGGACCTTTGCAGCGAAGTATTTTGTGGCACCTGAGGCGACCCTAGTTCCAAAAAACGAGCCTACAGGGGATTTAGCGAATTCTGGCCTCTAGCCTTCTGGCAATTTTTGTCAATGTGCCAGAAGCGCAACATGAAGACTCGAAGTGATTTCCTTGGAGCTTATGGGCAGTGACCTCAGCTTGCTGTCATCTGCTGTTGCCGAAGCTTCTGCATTAGTTGAAAAGGGTTTGGGCAGGCGATGGCGCACACCTCCCCTCAAGCAAGAGGTTGGCATGTTCCGTGGGAGCGCAGTTGAAGTCGTGACTTTATGGCATGCTTCCTGGGTCTGTTGGTTTCTGAGTGACGAAGCCGACAGTGCAAGCAACTTCACGGAACTGGCCGCATCATGTGGAAATAGTGAATCCCATGACTGAGAATGGTTTTAACCGTTGCAGTTGCAATGCCAGTCTCACGCAGGAAGAGAATCTGCGCCCGGTCTCCGAAAGAAGTTTCTTCTCCACGCTGTCAGGATGTATCCTGGTGGTCCACTCTGTCAGATGTCAGCCTTGACATCATCCGCTTCTTGGAGGCTGAGCAGTGCATCTTTGCATGTGATTGGTTGTGGCGTAGCGAGAGGTCATGCGAGAGAAGTACCGTGACAATCTGAAAGAGGCCAGGACAACTACCCCGGTCGTGTTTTACCTGTGCATGCCGGGTGCGTGTTCTTCATCGTTTGCGCCTCGAGGTTTTTCCTTCGCTTTGCTGTGTGGAAATGATGTTTGCTCGTGTTGTTTCTGCCTGCGGCTTCTTCGCAGCTTCTCCTTGTCGTAACGGGTTTACGGCATTGCCATGTCTTCAGTGTCAAAAAAGTTGTCGTAGCGGGTACTGTGCGTGGACCATCAGTCATATATGGCAGCTGGACGAATCTGGACACCACAAGTCTTTTTGGGACGGATTCCGCTGGAACATGCCAGAAGCTATTCCAATTCCGATTTTTGCAACTCGTGCTTCGAGACTGAGGTCGAAAATGTTTGCTCTCAGCTGCTGCTGCGAGGTTAGAAGCATCGAGCAGCTTTCGCTATCGCAGTTGTGCGCGGTAGCTGCCACTACGACATCGCCAGGGTCTGGTCTGTCGAACTGGGTGCCCTTCTCCCGTTAAGTCGATCATTATCTTCGTCATGGCAGTGCCAATCGTGTCCGTACTGCGTTCTAAGTTCTAACGGATTCTAACGTCTCATTCCTCGGCTCGTCGTTGTTTCCACGTGACACCCTCTCTAGCCTGCGACACATATTTTCGTAGGCGTTTCGTGACATTGATGGTGGTAGTGCGAACGGCCTGGAGCTTACAGCAGCTGCTGTAGTTGGTCACTGGCGATGGTACGGTTTGCCTGCATACCGACATTTGAAGGTTTGATCACCTTGAAAGAATTCGAGGAGTATTGCGACAGGTGCGGCGGAAGATGCGATTTCAGCAGGTACCCTTATTAAGTGCACGGCAGGCTTGAAGATTCCCGATTCCGTGACAATCGCCGCGAACGCAGCTTCGGCATCATTGCACCTTGTCATGGGCTGCCCGGTTGCAGCCATATGGTCTCCATGATGGCAGGTTTTCGGGCCATTTTCCGCTACCTTGACGCAACGCTCGAGGGTTCCATTTCTGTTGAGGCGCCGTGGGGTCCGGGATGTTCTCGGGCATGAGACGGTGCACCAACACAGTGTCACAAGCTGGCTCGCTCTGCGCGCTTTCTTCGGTGACAGCTCGATGACACAGGAGTGGCTCCAGCTGGATACTGTGAAGCGTGAGCTGGACAGACAGGCGCTTGGAACACGACATGCTCCAACTGCACCGCCCCAACTGATTTCCGTACCCTGTTGTGCAGACTGGGGAGCTCTATGATTTCTTCATCTGGAGATACGGCGCGATTGCCAAGGTGTCCGCATGTGTCCACTGTAACAGTGCCGTTGTGCCGTGCCGTGCGCCGTGGGGAGGGGATTCCCCTTTCTGCTTCAGCCAGGCCTGGGCTGTCCTGGAGAAGAGCGGAGATGGAGAGATGTCTCAGGACAGCTCTCGAGCTTCCACTGAGCTTCGTGCTGCGGAGGGATCGCTTCGCTTCGCTTCGCTTCGCTTCGGTCTTCGCGTCGGCGCGGCCGGAGGAGGAGTGGAGCAACGGGCTGAAGGAGGCGCGTGGAGTGCAGGACTCGAGGACTTCCTGCGGCATGTCGAATTTCAATGCAGCTGGCAGTTGGGATACTTTGGGGCGTCTGTGGAGCTGTACTCCGTTCTGGACACCACCAATGACGGCACAATTAGTTTCGAGGAGTCCTCGGCCCAGATACGCGTGGTTTGCCCGCGGAATCTTCATGTTTGAGAGACTGGCAGAGACTGGACTGCTGAGGTTTACTTGCATTGCCCGGCGCGCCCAAGGCGAGGCTTGAAACCGGAAAATCCGGATTGCATAGACGCAGCTGGTTCTCTTATAGCCAGATGTGTTTTACATTTAGACGCATGTTTGTGCTGCACTCAAAGTGCTGCTGTAGCGCATTCCGAATTTTGCTGCGAAGCAGCAGAATTCACGATGCGGGATTGATTCTGTAAGAGTGCGAGATATGTTTGCTGCAGTCGGGCCGTCTTTCACTTCCTTGAAAATTACATTGAAGATATGGCTCGAACTGGAATCTCAGAATCTCTCCACATGTAAGTTGACAGGTGAGCAGGGTGGGTTCTCGGTAATGCGTACGACGCCATCATAGGCGCAAAAGCGGCTAGACGAATGAGACCTGAAGTGTTAAGGGGTCATGCTGATCATAGGATGTCCTGACAAAGAGCTTTTGCAGTTCCTGAGATGGGCGCGGAGGCACGGCGGCCATTCCATGGATGGATGTTTTGTGTGGCTGTTGTGGAACGCACCTGCGACGACCTTGATTCACGACAGCAGTTTGGGGCTTCTTTGCAGTCGAGCTTCTCGGAGTAACGATAGCCGCCACAAGCTTCAAGCTTCCCGCTGATGGGCTCGAGAACCTGTGAACGCATTGGTCACTGAGTAAGAATGGAACTGCTGGTGACAAGGTTTCCTGGATTTAACCATATCTGATTCGACCATTCAACTGTAAACGAGCTACAACATGCCCCGATTTCATGGTCATGGAGTGGTGTCCAGGCACGCGTAAGTTTCACTCGGGGAAGCTGCATCAGTTTGTTCGGCCAACTCTGTTCGCCAAGGTCCAGTGGTTGCCTGTCTGCGGCTAAGAGTTTGGTCCATGCTTAAACGGGGTCCTGCCCGCTCAAGCCCGAAGCAATGAGGGTGGCCCTGGTGCTTGGGCTGCATGCTGCTACTTTCGTTGGCGTGGGCAAACTCTTTACTGAGGCACAAGACACTGCTATGCCACTGTCTGCATCATGCTTGGACACTTGTGAAGGAGCAACGTGCTCCCAAAAGGAGCCTGCATGCAGTGGACGTGGAAGCCGAGCCGGAGGTGGATACTCAGGTGCCGACGAATTGAGCCTCCAGAGCATGCAGTGACTTTCGCAGTACTTAGACTTAGACTGTCAGCATTTGTCACAGCACTCAGGGACAGTTGGAGAGAAGTGGCAATGGTTCTTTCTGGCAATGACAATTTGACGACAGCACCAATTGTCAGACCCATCACCTGTGATCAACTTATCAGCAATTGTTAAATTCTACTGTCACCTTCTCTCGATTGCAGCCAAGTCTTGTATGTACTCAAATAGCTGGAAATATGAAAGGAAGCAGGATTGTCTATGATTATTCATATTGTACCTTGCATGGCCTTCTACCTTCAATCCCCATCAGACACGTGCAGATTGGAGGTTAAAGGTTAGGCAATGCCGCCCGTCAGACACTATCCATCCCCGTCAGGTGCGGCTGCTTCGTGAGCCCACAGATACTATCTTTCTATCCAGCCTCCGCCCGGGGTCTCTGGCCACACGTCCGTCCGTCAGCAAAGTCCGCCCGTTAGGTACGTGCTCGGAGGGAGCTGCCTAGTTAACCTGTCAGAGACCTATCTATCATTCTTTTGCGCTTCATGAGCCCTTGAGGTGCTATCTATCTATATATCTATTTATCTATCTCCCTCGGGGTCTTTAGCCCTCCGTCCGTCCGTAACTCGTCGGCTGTTATCTATCCTCCCGACCTACCTTTCTATCTGTCTGTCTGTCTACGTATCTATCTATCTCCCCTATACCCCTGCGCCACTAGCCCGCGTCAGGCACGCCCCGGGTTACCCGGCTGTTTAAAGAGTGCGTGAGATTATTTCTCCGTCCATTCACGCACCCAGAGCGGTGGTTTCTGGCCCTCCGTCCACCGGCAACCCGTCAGATACTATCAATCCCACGGGTTTTGGGCTTTAGGGTTTAGCTTAAGCTTTTGAGTTCAGGGTTTGGGGTCAACCGGTAAAAGGCCTCGAGTCGACACCGGCTTCTGAGGGTTTGGGGTGTAGGTCGTCAGATCGCCCTCTCTGTGAACCCTGGCCGCCAGCCGCAGCAGCCCACCTTCCAGCTGCAGTTTCCCCGAGCCCTCTCCGCACACGCCAGCGCCCCCCGTCTTTCGGCACCCCTCGCCCTTGCCAGACCATACCATTGGGGGGGGCAGACGCCTGAGCACTTTTCTATTCTCCATCCCCCCCCGCGTGCGTCCGTGAACAACCTAAGTATCCATCCAGCTGGTTCATGAGCCTGTCAGATGCCAGTCTATCTGAGGGTTGCTCTTTAAAGGTCCGTGGTGGTCCGTGTCAACGGTTTATACAAAACCGGCCATGTGGCAGGGTTTACAGAGTTCGCGAAAGATCCGCTAAAGCAGGCGCGAACGGAAGATGGTTTTCGCGAAAGTTGTATCAACACGCGATAGAATACTACAGGATTCAACTATGTCCTGCCCTAGCGCCTTCAATCGACTGAGCCTCAACGAGCACGCGAGCCCTTAGTCCAAGCCGTGAACCTTAAAAAACCCTATGGAGAATGAGCTCTCGCACCCTTGCATCGTTTGAGCCCTAAGCCCTTGCAGATTTGGATTCCGGGCCTGTCGTCGTACCTTGTTCATCGCGAACATCTATCTTGAACGAGTCCGCAGTACTTGACTCGATGCAGAAGGTACACGGGCCTGGAGTTCATATCTGTAAGGCTGTTGGAAGCTCATACGGTGCAACGTGCAGTAAAGGGGACCTGCGAAGCGTAAGGGGTTGTCGTAGAGAGTGACCATGCATAGTAAGTTTGAGCTCGGGATTGGGGATTTTTTGCAGTGGATTGCGCGAAAGTTCCGCGAAAGACTCCGCGAAACTTGAAGGCAGTAGGGCGCTACAGTTTCTCACAACGGCTTTGCATGATCTCTGTCAGAAGCAGGAAATACAAAGACTCATGAGGCGTCATGGTCCGAAAACAGGTTTAGAATAGATGCAGGAGGCTGCTCGTAGAGACCATGGCGATGAACATAAGGCTTGTTTTCAAACTTGGTTGGAGAGTTGGTGGAGAGCGTTCCTGCCACATATGTATATGTATATATATATATATACATATAATGGTATTAGATTACATATACATATTATATTTCATATACATATACATATATCTATACACGCATATATACGTATATATATATATATATATATATATATATATATATATATACGGACAGCGTCACACACACACACACTCTCTCTCTCTGTATATGTATATATATATATATATGTGTGTGTACGTATGTATGTTTGAACAAGGTATGGGCTATCTACCACCCCCCGCCTTTCCTTCGGGGCCTGTGGCCCTCCGTCCATGAAGCCACCCCCCCTACACCATCTCCAATTTGCTTGTCACTCATACATCTTATCTGTCTATCTATCATTACTGTCATTCTTGTTCCCTGCGCCGGCCGCTCCCAACAGACAGGTAGCCCCCCGCAGTGATCTGCAGCGGCCTTCCGTGAGCAACCTCTGCCTGTGCCCGTCCGTATCTATCCCTGGCACCCTACCTGTCTATCTCGCTGTCTCTCTGTCTATCTATCGATCTATCGATCTGTCTGTCATCCCCTTCCGGGGGGGGGTCGCATCCGTCCGTCGGGAACCCTCGCCCGTAAGGTACCAGTCATGCTTTTTCAGCAATGCTTTCTGCAAGCTAGGCAGCTAGGTGCAATGAGTGTGTGGACCGGAGGCGCTAACTGGCGAAAGGTACATCGCCTCAAACCGTGCCGGGCTCAGTGGCTCAGCTGGGCAGGAGCATCTTTCACCTAAGTGGCTACAGCAAGAAGAGAGAGCACCCCAGGTTTCATGGTGCGCGAGGCAGGCTTCTAGCGGCAGATCGGGGCAGTTTGGGATCGACGGCAGCCTTTTGCCTACTACGTGCTGTGTCTAGTCCAAGTCCTAGTCTTCTCTGTGTAGATTTTCCTGAACTGATTTGCCTTCAATGGCCTGGCCTCCCTCCCTGGTGGCTTCCAAAGGTGGGCTAAAGATGGTTAAAGCCTCTACAGGAGACTCAGGACAGGATGTGAAAGGTTGCCTAGAGGAGCCCTGGTGGGAACGCCAGGGTTTTCTCGCGCATGCGCCCACCCAACTGTTCTCATTTTTCAGCCTTTGCCAACCCTGACATCTCAAAATTCAGAGCCTTGCCGTCAATGCCAAAGCTTTCGTCATCCCGCTGTGCAAATACATTGTGCTATCTACACCTTAATTAAGCCTTAAGCTCTGAAGCCTGAGTAAACTGTAAGTAACCCAGCTCGCAGGTAGGACAAACCATGAATTTTTGAAGCGTGCAGAAAAGCCGTCCAATGAAAACGCCCCCTCATAGCGGCAACCTGCTGGTGTAGCCTGCGACAGGGAATGCCCGTGCCGCAGATCGCATCGCGAGATGCAGAGCCATGCAGCCATGCTATGGCAGCCACAACTCGGCTTGTTGACGCGGAAAAACCGCAAAAAGCTGGGAAACTGAGTTTTTTCGTCTCAAGACTTTTGCTGAACCGTTTGGCCGTTCGATTTCGTTAACACAGGGCGGTCTATCTCGTGTAGTTCAGGTGTTTTGTCTGAGCAGACCAACAGGCCTATCCACGAGCGAAAACTGCTTAGCTTCGACGAACATAACTTTCCCCTATCCCTGCCATGAAAGTGCAGGCCACTCCCTAAGCTTCCAGCGTCTCGCAAGTTACATTGTCAGGGTGCCGAGGCTGCTTTCGAGCAGCGATGGGCGAAACGAAAGTCCTCTTTGCTCACTCTTCCCGGCTTTCGACTGCAGGCTGCACTGAGTGCCATAGTTTGCTAAGAATCATGGGCCGGCGTGTTCGTTTGGTTAGCAGAACTGAGGATGGTTTTCACTGATGAGGAGGCTGCCAAACGACCAGCAATCGTTCCCAGATGAGTATAGCCCCCTGGTAAAAGACTTATGCGTAGGCTGGCGAGAGGTCATTGCATGAGTTGGCAAGGCTACGTATCATTCACCATCTGGGAGACGAAGAAGGACTTCACCTTCTGGAGGAAGGGTCCGGCCTTTAAAGAAGCTCATGGTGGCGGCGGGATTCTGGACTGGAGCTGTGCAGCTGTAGCTTGTTTTATGCTGTTTGATGGGTCAAGGCTTGCCAGTTGCTCTTTCAGGATTTCGTTGGAATGGTCATGAGCTCCTTCATGACGAGCAAGGGACCACCGAAACCATCCTTCTGGCAAGGCCAGTGACGGCAGGACGTCCGTCTCCGTCTCTCTCAGTTTCTTCTGCTGAGGACTGCTGCCGTTAAAGTCCGCGGAGCAGAGGGACCGTTTGGTGTCGGGCCCGGGCGGACGACCAGAGGCGGACGGCGAAGAAATGCTCGAGCCCGAGGCCGCTCGTCGGAAGCAGAAAAAAACGAGTCCGAGTCTCTTCTTCTTTTCCGCTCCTTTATCCCCCGCCCCCGCCTCTCTCTGTCTCTCGGTCTTTGAGGTCTTCGTCGCGACCACCCGATTCAACGTCTTGGACCAGTCGAAGACGGAGTTTGAGCAACTATGGAACGAGCAGAAAGACAAGCTGCAGGAGCATTTGCTAAGCCAGTAAGCAAGCAGCAATATGCAAGAGATAATTAACATACACATGTTTATGTATCACCTTTTATCTTTCTTATCGTATCGAATGCGATACATAAACTTAATATGCAACATGCAAAGCATGAAGAACGAAGGCTCAGTTCATAACATTCAACATAGTGCTTATAACGTACAACGTATAGCTGAGCATATTATATAGACAGCATAAAACACGTCAAAGTTGAACTATGAAGATCTATGAAGCAAATTACGTATAAGATATACTATGTAACAGATGCTGTATGTAAGATGCCTTGACGTATGCTTCATCATGTATGGTCAGGCGTCTGGCGTTCCCGGCCCTCCCCCCCCAATGGCATGGTTTGGTAGGGGTGGGGGTGGGGGCTGGCCACTGGATGGTGGGGTGGTGCTGGGGCTGCTGGGGGGCGGCCAAGGCTCACACGCAAGCCCTTCGCAAGCCGTAAACCCTATAACGTAGCTCGTGCTCCTGTTTTGCTTACCCTTAAGCTGTGCTTTAAACCCTAGACCCAACCCTAAACCCCGCCTAAATTCAGGCTCCAAGCCCAAAGAAGAACATACCGCAAATCCTCCCTAAGCCCTTGTCGACTTGAATACCTTCTAACTGTAAACCCCAAACTCAAAAGCGTAAGCAAAACTCGAAACCCCAAACCCCAAACCCCAAAACCCCACAACCACCTTAAACCCCACAACCACCCTACAGGGGGAAGAGAGGCCCCACACCCCACACCACAGAGAAGTGGGGAGCCCTACCCTATATCCGGACCATTGATCTTTGGGGGGGAGGGGGGGGGGCCGCGGAGCACGTGAGCACATATGTATATATGGAATTAAATGGATACATATATAACTTGTGTGTTTTAAGTCAGTTTGTCATACATAGCAATTGCTGCATGTTCTGTTGATTCTGCGCGGCGGTACCCGGGCATACCTCGGGTACCCTGACACCACCTGCACATGCAAGGGGCTATGCGGGCTCCTCAGCTTGCCCATTCCGCAGTCGCGATTTTGCAACACAGAGTTCCATCAAAGCCTTCCGCCACAAACGGAGAAGACTTTCAAAAGCAAACGGTAAACATACAGAAAGAAGCTGGTGCTCATTTGCTTCGAGCCGCCATCGCGCACATTGTGGATGGGTGGGAATCGTGTTGCGGATTGCATTCATTCGCCGACGAAAAGGTCGTCTCCCTCCCGACCTGCTGGCACAACCCATGTTTTGTCTGTGCTGTGCCCGGAATCTTTTCTCGTGAGAATGCCACCTCGTTTGCACTCAGATGTCTGTCGAACATCGTCTGGCATTGTGACATTCCGGATGTCGGGCATTCAAAGCAGCGAGTAAGCAGCGTGTCTCCTCTCGCAGATCACATTCAATGCTGGCGATTGGTTCAGGACGCAGCAGGTTTCCGATTCTCTCAACTCCTACGACGTGATCAAGCGCCAGATGACAACTGCAATTATTTAAGATCCTTGGACTGGGGCATTGCTTTGCATGTGCATTCGTCGGTGCATGGAGTCGTCCCATGCCCTCAATGCCTTTCAGGTGTCACAGTCTGGGATGACGAAGCAGCATATGCGGCTTGGACGCGTAGTCATATTGCGGCATGTGACATGCAGGGAGGGAAGCCGAGCCATGCGAATGCTCCACATCTCTGACGGATTGGTTCTCTTGGTTTGTCGAGGACCAATCGGAGAAAGCGATCCTTCCGCCAGGTCGCTTAGCTTCCTGTACCAGGTGCCGGACTTGTTCAGGACCCTGCACCTCTGTGCAGGCGATATGCTCCTACAGCCAGCCCAAGACATTCTTTACGAAGGCTGGTACCCTCCAGACTCTAGACGGCCTTCTCTGCACCCCTGGCCTCAAGGCAAGCTCGTCCTCGAGAGCGAAGCTGGGCCTTGAGTCTGAAGGTAGACGTAGCTGATTGTAGCTGTGTAGCTGCTTAGCCGCCCTTGAGTTTCAAGAGTTCCGTCGCGACGAGAAAGGCTCCGAAGCGTCTGGGCCCGATCGCCTTGCACTGACCATCGTGGCTTGAGCTTGGTCAGGCCAGCCTGTGCTCCGCCAAAGTCGCCGGACAAGCAGAAGCAGGGCGCTTCCCTCAGCCGATCCTTGCAGCACCTGCGTGGGTTTTTCGAGAGAATGGCTGCATTACTGGGCATTTGTCAGACGCGCCCTGTCAGAGGTTGGCCTCGTTGGAGCCTCTCGCAGACTGCGCAGGCGCAGTTGAGATGCTGTTCCGTTGGCGTTCGCTGTGCGTTGTTCAAAGGCCGCTCGGCTTCTCGAATCCCCATGCAGCTTGCAGACGAACGGGCCCTCGAGCCCAGAGCCAGAGAGAACGACAACGGTGGGAGGTCTGGGCTTGTGCTGACAGCACGCACACATACCACGCCTATGTATGCGTTCCTACTGTGTCAGATGGTATGTGTATGACCGTGTAGGTACATAATGTGCAGGCGTGTATAACGTGCAGAAACAAGACCGTATAAATATAGTTACATACATACATGTATGTCTAAACATAGATCTGTGTGTGTATATATATATATACAGATATACACATAGAAGAAGATGTATATGTATATACATACATATATACATGTATGTATATATATATATATATATATATATATACACACAGAAAATAAGACATTACGGGCCCCATATTTACAGCATTACGGTTTTTCATGTTTTTGTTTTGTTTCAGATTTGAAGCAACATCACTCGTGCACATGATATCGTTATCCTCATATGCATATTCTTAAATAGGATAATAGGATACATGTACGTATACCCATACATGTGCATAAACAACAATGGTTATCACATATCCAGAGTTTTTGTTTCAACTGTCGACATGACTATAGAGCAGGAGGTTTGACTCTCACTTCTTGGCTGGTTTAGGCCCGAAGGGCGAGAACACTGCTACTAAGGGGAAGGCGGGGGGGGGGGGGGCGGCGGACAAAAAAAAAAAAAATTCGGGACGGGGGGGGGGCAGCGCAAAAAAAAAAAAAAAGAAAATTCGAACTTTTTTTTTTGGTGCCCCCCCCCCACCCCCCCCGACCCCCCCCCCCCCGCCCCCCCCACCCCCCCCCCCCCCCCCCCGGGAACAGCAGGCGACAGCCAGCGCCATAGTGCGCAACCAAGAGCCACACATGATTTAAACTTAAACCTTGTGTCCTTAGCCCATGCAAGCCTCACTACAAGTGAGTAGATACTCTATGCTGAATATTAAGATCAATAAGATTACAAACTAGCCAGATAAACATCTATAGAATCTATAAAAGACCTCAGAGACTTACTGCGTAAAGTCGATATCTGAGTGCGAACGGACTGCGATGCCTTGTCAAGTTCTAAGGTGTCACTATAAGAGCTGTGAGCAAGACCGTGTAGAGTGCAAGAGAAGGGGGCACGCTACGCGTCCCTCGACTCTAGGAGTAAGCTTGTGGACGTGCTACGCACACCGCATCGCTTCTCCTTACCTTTCTATGTGACCGCCCACGCAACGTTTGGCTCAAGTCAATGCCCATAGCTAAGTGCTATATGTGTCTTCTATCCTGAGCAATCAGAGCTATCCCGTGCACAGACGAACCGCCGCCGGCAGCGAGTGCAAAAGGAACGGCCGCCGGTTCTGCCTGCATAGGATTGCACGTGTGGAAGTGTGAGAGAGACAGGGTCCCAGTCTGTGGAGAGTGCAAGCCAGCCACACCTATATTCATTACAGCTCTGGTGGGGAGAGCAGCAACATAATCGAGATCAAATCCCCACGCAGGTTATCAGCCGTACGCGGCTCTGCCTTTCTGCAGCAACGACTACTTGATCTACTACGACCACAATGAACTCGGGATCAAGCCAAGATACGACAATGACTTTCGGTGCCGATGTGGCAGCGCCAGCCGTTGGTGAGTCAACAGCTGATGACACAGTGGTGCAATCCGTTGATAGCTCCACGGAAGATGACAAAGGTCAATCTTCTGCGCTTGCCATTGCAAAGGCAGTTCCCAAGGTGAAAGCAAAGAGTCTACCAAGAGCATCTACGCCTTCGCGTCCGACATCCACAGGTTCGAGGACGGGCAAGGCTCCAGAACGACGAGCCGAAGCGTCTGGTTTTCAGGCACCTCGGACTACGTCCAGGGCCAAGGACAAAGGGAGTGAAGACCTTGGAAAAGAAGTCGAGACCATCATCTTCGAGAAGCTCTTCAGCACGATCAAGGACTTCGGCTACTCGTGGGCGTGACAAGTCCATGACATGGAATCGGATGGTTACCAATCAGCCACGCGATGCTGACGATCTGGATATGACTCTGGACACTATTCCTGCACGTGGTGATGCGTCATCGGTGACCACGCCAGCCATAGCCGATGGTCCGAATGCCTATCAGGAACTGACGATTTCGCAACAGTTCGAAGCATCGAACCTTGCGCAGCAGATGTACTATCGCAGTCAGATGCAAGAGTACGAGGGAGTTGTCCAGACCCTGATGGATAAGATCAAGGAGATGCAACAAGAAGATGAAGGATCTGGGATTCGCATCGAAGAATTGGAACGACAACGTGACCATGCATGCTTAGCCATGAGGCACATCAACAATGTCAATCAGGAGATGAAGCGAGACTATGAAGCAGCTTTGTTTCGCATGGATGAACAGAACTCTGCTCAACAACGTCAAGCACACGCCGTTGCCGAGGAGTTGGCTCAGCAGCTACACGTGTTTCGCACGGAAGCAGCCACTAACTTTGTGCAGTTGGAGGCAAGAGCGCAAGGCGATGGTGAGCTTATGGCACGTGAGTATGAGCATCTGACTCATGAACTTCATGAACAAGCCAGAGAGAACTTGTTCCTCCGGTCGAACACAGCAAGTTCGGAACAAGCCTTACAAGCAATGCAGGAACGATTCCACTTGGTCAAGAATCAGGAGTTGCGGGCCGTGAACGAGATCCAAGGGCTAGCTGGGAACAGCGCAGCCATTGATCAAGAACGACTTCGGCTTCGCGAACGTCTTGGTGAAGAGGAAGAGTACCGCAAAATGGCTGTGAGGAGGATGCAAGATGCAGAGGACCGACTTCATCAGAATGAAGATCATGCAAGGCGCGCATTGCCTACCTTGCACGATGAGCTGAGTGAACTCAGGAAAACACTCAGAGCACAAGAAGATCTTCAAGCGAGGACACGCAGCGAATTGGAGGCAGCACGGAACTCCAACTACCATGGCGGAGTGACACGGCCTTCGAGCATGCCCATGTCTTCGAGGACTACTGAGTCTGGCTGGGAGCACGTAGGAAAGGAAGTAGTGCCTGCATTTTCCGTAGGAGGTGAGGTACGATCCCCTGAAATACGGTCCCCAAGTCAAGTTAGTCCAGTCGCCAAAGAGAAGTTCGCATTCTCGGAATCGGACAAGGACAAGAACCTTGCGATGGATGGAATTCCATTTACCGGTGGAAACTTCTTCACTGGCCGCATTAAAGGTGAGGTGAATAAATCCTATTCAACGCCAATCGTGGCGGATGCAATGCCCGAGCACTACGTGCCAGGTATTAGCAGCCCAGCACATGCGCGTTCCACGCCTAGTGCAGCCACTCTGTTTGGCATACCAAGCGGATTTCATGGGCAAAGTGATGCGGCAGCCGTGCGTGATCGACAGCTACGTGAACTCTTGGAGGATCGCGGGATGTTGGGATCGAAGTCCACAGCATCTGCCAGCTCCTCAAGACCTGTTGGTATCGACGGCATTATCGCATCTACGAAGGGCAACGACCTCATTGGTGCCCCTGTCGCCTATGACGATTCCATCCATGAGGCAAGGAGGCGTCAGATCGAGAAAGAGGTCGCGGAACGGTACGAAGAGAAGATTGCCGATCTGCGAAGCGAAGTACTCAAGGCCCAGAAAGCCGAACAGCGTCTCAGAGCTGATCGTGATGAGTGGAGATTATTTGCTGAAACGATTCAGGAAGACAATGGAGACGATGACGGTGATGAAGCTGGCGACGAGAACGGAGAGGGAGAGCATGATGAAGGAACCGGCACGGGGTATGATCCTCCAGATCCGCCTGATGATGACGATGATGATAAGAAGAGAAGCGGTGGAGGCAAACCTGACCCGGATCCTGACCCTCATGCGCGTGATCCTGATGGAGACGCAGATCCTGAAGTCACAGAGGTGAGAATTTCCAGGAGGGAGGCCGATAAAGTGACCGTTCCTCCATGGCCTACTCTCACTCACCTCAACAACTGGCGATCCGTATGCACGGCGAATGTCTTAGGAGCATCAGCCGACCCAAATCATGAGGACTGGATGTTATGGCTGGCACCAGCGTTCAATCCATTCCCTGATGTCGAAGCACTGAACGATTCGGGACACAAGAAGTTCAAGAGCGTAGACGTCAAATTGGGGATCGCCATGGTCGCAATGCTACGCGCTGGTGGTGACAAATCTGCTGATCTGTACCTGGAGGTGAACCGGAAGGCCAACGATTACATCAGCAGGCCCGAAGGGAAGATCATCAAAGGACGACAAATCATTGCGATGATGTATGAAAGTTTTCGAACGCACGATCGTCTCGACATGATCATCACTCTCGAGTATCTGGTGAAGCTCCAGTACCAAGGCGACAACAAACTTCATACGTTCAAGCAGACGTGGTTGGAGGTTCTGGGACGGATGAGGCCAGAAGACATACCATCCAAAACAGCTCTCCGTGATTGCTTGTACAGCAAGATCAAGGACTCGCCCGCAATGAAGATGGAGTTGGGCATGCACTACGAACACTTGCCCTACAATCATGAAGACCGATCGTACGACAATCTGATGAAGATCATCGACCGTACCATCATGCGGAGACGAGAACAATCAAATCTCACTCAGACCCAAATTGGCTTGCGCCAGATGCTTGAGGGCAAGGATTTG